ATAACAAGACTTGCATATATCACATATACACAAACTTGCCTGATTCGTTCATAACATTTAACGTATTGGATACATATTTTTCTGATCACAAAGCACTCTATGCTTTAATTGATTGTTTTGAAAARGATGAATGATATACTTCTACAATGATATGAACCTACAAAACAACTTATTCTTTAACAAAACCAAATATTTTCAGTAATTCACTTTTTTATGTCAATTTATGACCAACACTTCAATTAAATGACAAAATCACAAAACATCCTTAATTTCTTCTCAACATTGATACCCAACTACTAAGTTTTGACCATCAAAATGTATATGAATTAGAGTTTAACCACCATTTGAACAGTTGATTAATAATGGTAAGTGAACTGAGTGGAGTGCAATTTGGTCTGAAATCAAACGCGCGATTACAAAATCGCACGACCGCGTAGCGGGAGTGCGATTTGTAATTGCAAGTTTGATTTCGGACCAAAATTGCACGACACGAAGTTCAATTACCACTTCATTATATCCATTTTGAAATCTTTTTTGAAAAAGACGTTTTTTCCAGTTAAACCGACATGACTTACAATCTAAAAGCAGTCGATTCAAACATGCTGTCAAGAGAACTTGTTTATACTGATCGAGCAATGATTCTCATTTTGAAAACCAACACTTTCAATCCAAAACTAAAAGAGAATTTATATCGGACCAAAAGGCATTACATGTATTAAGAATCGTTTACTTACATTAAATAACAAGACAATCCTGCCCAAAAGGGTTATAATGGACTGGCTGTTGTCCATATTACAGCCAATGCTCACTGCTTGTATTTTTACGATTTCTGTTCAACATGTTTAGATCACACTTATGCCCACAAAACAGCAAAAATCAAAGGTTGTTTAGTCCTTCGGTTGTCCTTAAGAAGTCACGTAGCTCAGCAAAGAAAAACTTCTTTTAATGACTGTATTTTCGATGTGTTGTTATGCCTTAAAGATTGAAAAGGAAACCACTTTCCACGATCAATCGCCAAGAAGTCACATTCAAAAGATGCAGATGGCATTTTCTCCCACTGCTTTTCGCTGTAATATCTTCAACTTACTTAAGCAGTTACTTTACAAAGATGCTTTTGATGATTTTAAGTGATCAGTTGCTCTTTTTAAGTCCTTTTTACGGCTTTTTAAGTCTTTTTTAAAGACTTTTGACGGTAAAATCGTTCTTCAGAAATTTTTTTTTGAGCTTTGGCTCTTTTTTTTCGCAAGAAGCGGTGAGCTCAACACTCAGATGGATTCCTTNACTCCGGAGGTGAGAGGTGAGTGCCCTATGCTGCGCGCTATGCCCACCATTGATTCTTCGGTAATAAAAATTGCACTTTTTTCTTCTTCTAGCATCCAAGCTGGGTTGCAACGCTTCTTCTTTGGAATTGTATACTTGGTATTATTCGTTGTCCTCAATCCTTCCTTCAATAAAAATCACTTCCTTTCTGAATGGTTTGAGGTAATTTTCTCCCTTAATGTCGTACTTTTGTTATGTGTTATGATCATCTGACTGGTTTCTTTTCTTGGCCGAAGCCATCGAAAAATTCTTATAAGATATGATTTTTTTATTCTTTGCAGAATATTTCACTTTTACATCGGTTCTGGTTTTTTATTTGGTTTTACGAAGTCATGTATATGAAGTATCTAGGTCTTTTCTTAGTGTCGGTGAGTATCACAAAGATATATTAGTCGCCATTCCGACCTTGAGGAAAAAATTTGGTCGAGTTGTTGTTGAAGTGCATTTAATTTGGGGCTGTTTTAGGGCGAGAAATAACCGCCATCTTGAAAATATGCCGTCTAAAACAGCCCCACAATGCACTGCAAGATATCAGAAGTTTATCAAAACGCGAGTTTTGCCGTAAAGATGTTCCGCTTTCTATTGAGAATGACTGTAACACTGATAATACTTGACACGCTCAACTAAGCGCTTATAATTTTCACGAGATACTAACTATGATTTTCGAAAAATTTGGTAAACGGAAGCCAAAATACATGCGCCGCAGGGGCTGTGTTGGTGTTGTGAAGAGAGTTTAAGGTGCGGGCTTACAGAGGATAAAATCGCTTCTCTTCTCGCGCAGTATTGATGTTTGTACGTTGTTACCGCTCTGCGCACAGCAAATATGCTAACTCAAACTTTTGAAAATTTGATTAACGGAAGCCAAAAACTGATTGCGTTTGGTGCAGCGTATTGCGTGACGGTCACGCAGTTATATCGTCACGCAACAGTGACATATTAGTGCGTTGTTACCACTCTGTGCTCATCGAATTTTCTATGTCTCCAGCAAGTAGAAACTAAGAAACAACGAAAAAGTTTCCTTCGTTGTTTTGTCGCAAGGGTTTATTGAGTATGACTAGATCGACTTTCTTACACAGGAAGGCTGCTGTATTATCACCGGGCTAGGATATAATGGTAAAACAGAAGAGGGGAAGCCAAAGTGGGATGCTGTGTGTAACATACGCATTATCAGTTACGAGACTTCTTATTCTATTCAGGTAAGCAATTGGCGATGGTGAGGAAGATGATGCATGATGATGGTTGTGGTGGTGTTGGTGATGATGACGATGATGAAGGTGCTGGTGGTGGTAGTGATGATGGTGATGAGGATGATGATGATGATGATGATATTAATGTTGATGTTGATTTTGATGTTGATGTTGATTATGGTGGTGGTGGAGATGATGATGAAGATTATGGTGGTGGTAGTGGCGATGATGATAATGATAATGATGAGGATGAAAGATGATGATGATGAAGGTGATGATAATGATGATAAACGATGATGATGATGATCAACGATGACATTGATGATGGTTGTGGTGGTGATAATAAGGATAGTGTGATGCTGATGCCAATATTAAAGCTGTTGCTGCTGCTTGGGATTATGATGATGATGATGATGATGGTGTTATTTATGATGATAATAGAACACTTGCATTATGGCACGTCAGTGCTACTTACGACAGTGATGATGATAGTTCCTGATGTTGAACTTATTTTGTATTCTTTCAGCAAATTATTCAATCTTTCCATTTACAAACTAGCTTATGGATAGTGCGGTAAGAGATAACTTAACATTCCCATTTATCTATTATTCTTGGCTTTCACGTGACGTCACTGACCTATTTCGACCTATCCAAATATGGGCGTCCGCCATCTTTGTGCCCCTCCGAGTGTGAAATGTTATGATAATAGTAGGCCATTTTTATAGTGTTTAGAGTTTTAGCTCGCTTCAGAGCCAAATGACGTNACAAACACCCCCCTCCATCCCTGAAAAATTCCATCACACAAACACCCCCCTCCATCCCTGAAAAATTCCATCACACAAACACCCCCCTCCATCCCTAAAAAATTCCATCACACAAACACCCCCCTCCATCCCTGAAAAATTCCATCACACAAACACCTCCATCCACCCCTGTAGAATTCCAAGTTCCCCAACGAGGGACAATTCAATTATTGAGAAACGTTGTGAGTATGGATTGTTATCGATTGATCGTAACAACTCATATTAATTAACGATTGATATCGATTTTTATCGATTGCACAGGCCGCTTTGTTGATCATAAGTATTTCACATCTTGAACAAGATCTCAGGTCCGTTTTATCTCAATTCAAGTGTTCAAGTTACGATAAATCCGTCATATACCAGTTAATCCCTATTCTTTTCACAATATTTTCGTTCATTTGTAGTCTTACCGTCATGATAAAAGTGTTTCTTTGCACATATCTTGGCTTTGCAATGTTGTTGTTAGAACACTTCCGCCTTCGTTATTCGATGTAGCACATTGTAATCACATATTGATCGTCTGATACCACTTGAACATCACTGTTCCTATCAGAAAGAATGTACTAAGACAAGATTACAGTAGATCCAACCACGTTCAAGGTGAAAAATCGAGGAGATTTGAAGAAAAACTTGAGCTTAGAAAGCTTTTTCCATTCTATCTTTGAAATGTGCTGAGTTTCTAATTACACCTGGTGTAGTAATAGAAACACAGGGATCCCACTCTTGATATCAAATTCACGGTTGGGTTTTCACGCTCATTTGGTTTTTGTCTGACAAGTAAGGCGGGTATGCTTATCGATCTAGTTCCTTGCACATCTTTCGATTATTATTCAAAAAAGTATTTATTTTTTCATAAGAAAGACTTTCTTTTTTCTTTTTTCTTCTATTTTTAGCTCTCAGCTCCCATCATCCATCACTGGCTCCACATCCAAGATGGCGAATCAAATGTTCAGATTCGCAGGAAAGTTCAATTTGGTTGGCAAATATCTAATCATTGGTGCAAAGATTATAAAAAAAGTTCAAATATTCAAGCAGTGTACACGCAGAGGGCTGTTTAGCTTGAATCGTCCAATGTTTAGGGATAATTTAACGAACACAGCGTGCGTAGCTCAGACTCATTTATATTCCAAATGGCTTCAAAACCTTTCTTTGTAATACAAGACAAAAATACAGCAGTGTGTTGGAAGATTTGATGGAGACACAAGAACAGCCACAGCTAACAGTAGGTGCCACAGGTATGCATGATGTTGCTTGGTACTCATGCAGTGAAACTGCAAACCTTACCCCCTCCCCCCACTGGGGATTAGGATTCAAGTTAAGATGTAAAAAGAATATATATTTTCTTTAGATAATCGTTCAGACTGGAAAAGATGAATTTGATCTAAATATTTTGGTACAGTTCTCAGCTGAGTTTGATAAGACAACAGTTTTACCATCTATATATACTTATAAGATATAAACTATAAGATAAAACATAAAAAATAGGTAATAATATAGCTAATACAGTGGGTAAGAGGGTAAATAATTGCTGGTGCCATAAACGCTAAAAGGCTAGGCGAGCTTATATGTCAATTGCTACTACTATAAAAGTTGAAACGAGTGCCTAGCTGATTCAGCATGAGTTCTAATGCACTAATGTACAAACTAGGTAGATAAGCTGACTGGAAATGCCTACGTAATTATACTCATGCTTATGTAAGACCTTCCATGAACCTGACATGTCCTCCTCTACGTAGTCTAGATTTCTATTAACAAAGTCATCATCCGCAATATCTGTATCAAGGTTAAAACACTAGGGCGAGGGTTTCCATTGAAATTCAAGAATGAGGGCTGCAGGTTTAAGAACCAACCAAGCCCTATTTCTGATGTTTGATGGAGGGTTTGAATTTTGATGGAAAACCTGTCCTAGGTTTTGAATTCAGCCCTGCTCTCCCCTGTTAGTATCACTGCTGGATTCAAAACCCCGAACAGGTTTTCCATTGAACTTCAAATCTTACATCAAACAATAGAAATAGGGAATGGTTGATTTCTAAATGTCTATCAAAAAAATATATATAAATTAAAACGACTCATTTCAGTGGAAAAATTATTGGATAGTAACTAGATGGCATAGAGTAGGGTAGAACGGTCAGTAACCAGTAAGTAGCTTCCCTCCCCACAACACACACATTTTTAGTTAAGGGTGAGGTCTACCCTCCACACAACACACACATTTTTAGTTAAGGGTGAGGTCTACTCTCCCCACAACACACACATTTTCAGTTAAGGGTGAGGTCTACTCTCCCCACAACACACACATTATTAGTTAAGGATCAGGTCTACCCTCCCCACAACACACACATTTTTAGTTAAAGGTCAGGTCTACCCTCACCACAATACACTTAATTTTAGTTAAGGGTGAGGTCTACCCTCACCACAACACACACATTTTTAGTTAAGGGTGAGTTCTACCCTCCCCAAAACACACACATTTTTAGTTAAGGGTGAGTTCTACCCTCCCCAAAACACACACATTTTTAGTTAAGGGTGAGNAATTGGCTAGAAAATGACATGTCTCTCTTGTGATTGGTTCATATCAGTTGATGTGCAAAATCGTGCAATTTAGAGCTCAAAATCGTGCAATTTATGCTGAAATCACTGCTGCAGGGAACCAATCAGATTGCAGGATTTGCTTGTGATTTCAAAAYGGATGTAATAAAATTGGCAAAAWAACACAAATAATTCACAGGTATGTTAACTTTTTTTGAAAATGTATTATAGTTATTACAGATGTTTAACCTCCCTCCCCCCAACACACATACACACATATCACCATTCAAAGAGGCTTAATGTATTTTACTAATGTATCTATTTTCAAATTTTATTCATTCTCACATATGAATTGAAGTTACTTTGTTTTATTACAGCTATAATGGATGACTTCTCAAGTAAAGAAMCTCTGAAAGAAAACACTGATGCTGTTGACATCAACCAGGACTCTGTTAAAAGTGAAAACCCTRTTGATGGACTTTTTGATGTTGACATCAGTGAAGACTTTCTTGATTTAACTGAAGAACCTGTTAATGAAACTGTAGTTCATGAAGAGGAAAAAGATGCTGTGKCTGGGTATCTGCATAATGTCTCTCCCATCAAGCAAGGACACTATTTTGATTTTCAGATACAGACGAAAGATAAAATTTTACGCGGCCTTTCTTTCCAAAGAAAKAAGAGAAAGTTGTTTGCTGAATATGAAGTCAAAAACCTCCCAGTCAAGATTAAGAAGTTTCGTATAGATACAAGCTCAAACTCAGAAGACTTGATACTAGAAGAAGAATCATCCATTGAAAACTCACCAGACCTTGGCTTCACAAAGGCAGAGATTCCTAATATTATAGATATCGCAACMATTAGCAAGATTTCGCCTGGTCAATTGATTAATCTCAAAGCAAAAGTGCATCATCTTAATACTCCAACACAGATASCTTCAAAAGAATTAACCATGGTTGATGGATTGCTCATAGATCCATCAAACACTATTCGAATTGTACTTTGGGAAAATTTTAMTCACACAGTAAAACAAGGCGAAACWTACCTTTTTCAGAATCTTCGAATCAMAAAGGATCGTTCTACTCAAGAAATCTATGTAAACACAGCTAAAAATGGGACAATTATAACAACGACAACACCATTCACAGAAGTTCTTCCACTGACGCATCAATTACCAGACCAATGTAGCARCAGTAAGGGGGACTCGCGGAGGGGGTACCGTATGAGACGGGTATTGCCCCCGCCAAACACCATTGGTCGGCCGCGGGTATTACCCGGGTCGGTGCTACTAAGTCGCGAGTCTTATACATAATGCGCGAAGGAAACGCAAACGAAGGCTAAAATATTTCCTAGATATAGATGGATGCCATTAAAAGCATTGAAAACAAGACCGTGCGTAAGTTGCGAAYCCAGGTATTAGATCGTTTGGATGCCGATTTTGCCTTCACGACGTTTGCAGAAGGAGACACAGAAGAAATCATGGACGARGAAAGAGCAGAAAGGATAATAAGCTTGATGCCAGAAGGTAACTACCGTTTGGAATTAACATTCATAAAGTACTTAGACGGCGAATGGACAATAGAAAGGGGTCGTAACCCAATCCGGGCGTCTGGTAAGCAAAGTTTATTCGTCTTAAACAAGGACACCAGGCCTGGAGCGCTGGTAGGCATCGACATGAT